ATATTAAAATAAAGCTCTTTTTCTTTCAGCTTACGCTGGTCTCGCTCTTGTTTACGTCATCCAAACTCTGAGTATGACTCAATACGCTGTTAGAAAAACCTCTGAAGTGGAAAACTACATGACGTCAGTTGAGCGAGTTATGACCTACACCAAACTTGATCAGGAGCCTGGATACGAGGAAGAACGAACACCCCCAAAAGACTGGCCTCAGAGAGGAAGTATTGTGTTGAGAGATGTATCATTGACGTACTATCCGGGGGGACCTCAAGTGCTGAAGAACATCAATCTTAGCATCAAAGGAGGAGCAAAGATCGGAGTTGCCGGCCGCACAGGAGCTGGGAAGTCATCTTTCGTAGCAGCTCTTATGCGCATGCCTGATGCTGACGGAAAGATAATCATTGACGATGTTCCAATTAAAGACATAGGCCTCCAACAAGCCCGACGAGGTATCTCGGTTCTCGGCCAAAGTCCTGTTCTTTTTAGTGGATCACTGAGAAAAAATCTCGACGTTTTAGACAAGTTTCAAGACGCTGAATTGTGGCAGGCTTTAGAGGATGTGCAACTGAAAGATTTTGTCGAGACTCTTGAGGCTAAGCTGGATCACGAACTGCTGGAACATGGCGCTAATGTGAGTGTTGGAGAGCGGCAGTTAATTTGCTTGGCTCGTGTGCTGCTACAGCGAAGTAAAATCGTTGTCTTGGACGAGCCAACTGCGCATGTAGACCCAGACACAGAGCAGACGATCTGGAATGTAGTGCGGGACAAACTGAAAGAGTCCACTGTTATCACTATAGCTCACCGTTTGAACACGATAAAAGACTGCCAGAAGATTTTGGTCTTGAAAGATGGAAAAGTTAAAGGATTCGACAATTTTGATTTAATAGTGAACATTAAGTAAGATGCGGTCTAAGGTTGAAATACCTCGATTGTCAGATCTGACTAAGGTTGCGGTCTAAGGTTGAAATACCTCGATTGCCAGATCTGATCCTGCAGAGCTCAAGATATTATACAGTTTATAATCTCTTCCAAAGCTCTGATTCTGCACATCATGGAGAAAAATAAAATTTGATGCTTTTTGCTCGGTTTTGGCTCCTACATACTGCCAAGCATTTTTAAAATCTCTCTCTTTGTCATGTGCTGGGGTGTCACGCAATGCCAATTCTGCCGTGGGTCAGTTCAGTAATAGATGATGTCATTATCTTATAAAGAAAAACTGGCACACTGATGCAAGCAAGTGTGTCACTGATGTTCCAACTGCTCTATGACGTCCTCTGTGACCTCCCCTTGCCCTACCACACCCAACCACTTACGAACAAGGAGCTCTGTGTTACGCATTCATTTGTTCTGACAACCGAGCACGCTAACACACCTCTTGCGATAGTAGTCTCAGCGTTCTTACGGAGTGGAGAGATCACATGCTTTCCCTTTGGCAACTTATATAAGTCTTTCCTAGACACTTGAAATTGTGTGAGATTTTCCTTCTCACATCCCACCTTTAAAAAAATTATCTTGCGCACGCGCCATTCTTCTCGTATGATCAACACACTCCTTTCGTCGTGTGAACATGTGCCACGGGCATATGACCTTCTTCCGGGGAATGGGGATTTTGAACCTTGCCCGGGTGGAATGGAAAATTTTCTAGCAGAATAAACGTGTTATATCTTTGATATGGAGTTGTTTTAAGGTTAAAAGTTCACCCTCATGAGCAGATGGCTCAGAAGAAGAGGTCTTCAAGAAAGTCACTGTCGCTAATCTTGCCTTTTACAAAAAAAATTGCCGATCAAATCCGGCACTTGCGTGGAGCATTTGAACACAGTTTGGTATTGGGGGGCGGAAATTTGAAGGAAATAATCTCCAAAGTTCAAATGTCCGGGGGGATCTTGGAACTGATCGACGCATAATTTTTATCGCTTCGGTAAACCGATGCGTCGTTGACTCCAAAGCTTATTCAGTTGCGTTTAAGAGTTTGATATCCATTATTTCCCGAACGTAGTTTTCTGACGCATCGTTCTTTTTCATCTCGTCGAGCCAATGTCGTCGCAACGGTCGGCAAGTGAACTCTTACTTCAAGGCACGGTTGAAGTGCAAAGCTTTCCGCATCACCATCAACGGTAAGCCGTTTTTTTACTAAGATTATTTAGTTTCACCAATTATGTTGATAATGAGAACTGGCCACCTTTGAGAGATTCTGAAGTAACGTTACGAGTCTCAGCCATTCGTCAGAGCAAATTTGATGTAAGTTGATTGATAAGGGTGAAACAAACTCAAGCGCGGATCGCATTACAATTAACGATTGTGAAACATAGTCTAGCTAATCCGCGCAATCTTCAAGTTGAAACGAACAGAAATATGACTCATTCTTGTTTATCCAGCGAGTTGTCTTGCTTTATTTTTCTTTTTTATTTAAAGAACATAAGTGCGTGAGTTTGATGTTGAGTAATTTGTTGGGAGTTGGTACCTTAATCACCTACTATTGCATAATTTTCTACACGGTATGCCGGTTTGAAACTTATCCTCGTCCTATTTGTCATCTTTTCTTTTAATTTTTCAGGTGATAAATTACTAGAATGAAACGAAATTTTTTTCTTCATCTGAAAACTGTGAGCGACTGAACGAAATGTTAAGCTAAAATTTTCATTTAACCAGGAATTTGAATAATCACTGATGTGTCACGTAGCACTGTCTGCTTTCTTGTGAATTTAAGACTCGTCCAAACTAACCTACTCAGAAAACTGATCTACTAGATGTACTACTAGTAGTATTAATCATAGGTTTAAAAGGTTGGAAACCATAGACTTTGAAGGTGTGGGCAATGAGGGAAATTTCTCAGTACATCTGAAAGCTATCAGTAGATCAACGAAATGTTTAGTGAAAATGTGCATTACACCACCAATTTGAATAATTTTATTTACGACAGCACTAAAGAGCGAGAATCGTCTAAACTAACTTTGCTCACAAAACTAAACTACTAGATAAAATATCAGTAATAGTGACTATGTAGGTTTATAAGTGCGGGCATTGATGCGCTGATAGAGCCTTGCGTGTGAGACATGGGCGAAAAAAATTTCTTCGTTCATCAGCGAGTAATGAGCGTAAAAACGCATTGTTCAGTTGAAATGTGCGTTTGACCAGAACGCATTAACAATCGCATGTTTCGACACCATGACTAACTTACTGACCTGTGAGTAAGTTTATAACTCCTAGAAGACGATTTGGTTCTGAAACCCTAGAAATGCACGAGTAGACGCTTAACGCTGCGTTGGACAGGCTAAGAATGAATGAGGATATTTTCTGAATATTTTGTAGGTCTCAAGCGATGGCACCCAAAGGCGGTTGGAAGTCAGTTTTGCATCGTTTTGCATCGTCTCTGTTTTTTTGTTGGATGAATGGAGTCCTTAAGAAAGGCAGTCAGAGACCTTTGGATCAAAATGACTTTTTACCATTGTCAGACGAGAACTGTGCCCGTTTTTTAACCGAAAAGCTTCGAACAAGCTGGGAAAGCAGGAAACATTACTGTAAAATAAATGGGAAAAGGCCCAAACTTTGGAAAAGCGTGTTTGATATGCTTTCTGTCAAAGATGTCATCATCATTTTGACGGGGAGTATATTGTTTTTCATAAGTCGCCTTCTCTTTTCATTGTTTCTCGGGTATCTCGTTTCTAGTCTTATGTCAGCTGAGGCAGGGAATACTTACATGATCTACGCCTGCGCATTAGCTTTGTGTCTCGATGGTTTGATGGGTGGCCTTGGTATCCACCATCTAAGCTACAGGTGTGAAGTTTTGGGGATCAAAATAGGCAGCGCCCTAAGGGGACTTGTGTACAACAAGGTAGACACGATCATAAAGAGTATTCTATTATTTTTGTCGTAAGGTCAATAAATCTTAACCTATTCGAAATAGAATTTTAACCAATTGCAATCAACCTATGCTAACCAGGAGGCCCAGAAGGAGACGTTCATTGAACATGATAACTATTTGCTGATTCTCCGAGAGAATTATAGAACTTAAGCAATCCTGCCCACCAACGACCAAACAAAGTAACACACAGTAATTTAGTGTATAGTTTATGGAAAAGTATGCTTCAAAAGCCATAAATTTTTTATTAAACCATTATAAAGTATATTCAGTATATTCGAAAGTTTCTTCAAATGTGCTGATAATGGCCAGACACAACGCGCCTGTCTCAAAAAATTTCTTCCATGGCTATTGCAGGAAAAATTTATTTTAAGTCAAGAATGCCTTTTTTGTGTAACTCCTTGTTCGAGTAAAGCACCTCGAGATGAAGAAGGAAAAAATTACTTTCATACGTCACAGGCAGACGGTCACCCTGCTGAGCGATATTCATCTGAAATGGCGACTGAATTGATGCGTCTGACACATATGAAGATAATTTGGTAAAGGTTCGATTATTCTCGTCTTGATACGCGGTCATGGAAATCATTTGTGGCGGAGATTAAAATCTTATAGGGTTTAGAACATACTTCCCCTTTAATGTCAAACCTTCACTTTCTTTCAGACGCTTCTTCTCAGCGAGCAGACGTTACTGGAATTCACTTCAGGACGCTTATTCGACCTGATATCCAATGATGTTAAAACAATGGAAGAAGAGACAATCAAGTTTTTTTTCTTGACACCTTTCGCAGTACTTTCGTATCCGGGAACAATATTCCTCATTTACTATTTGATTGGCTG